ACGGTTGCAGGCAGACGTGTGACTGCTGTTTTTATAGCTAAAGCTAGCTAGCAACGACAGCTTTGGTTCACAAACGAAGACTAATGTTACAGGCCAGGCCTTCCCCTTTCAGTCACATGTTCTTATGGGTAATGTTGGTGTTGTCACCAGAAGTTACGACCTGCAGTGTGAGAACGAGAAGACCAACACATGGAACAGACTGCTTCTCTTTGAACCTTTCTTCAACCTATGTTTAAATTGTAAGCCACATAATTGTCTTTTTTCTGCTTAACAAAAGAAGAACTTAAAGAAAACATCTTTTAGATCAAAGATTATTCTTATTAAGTATATTTCATTGTTGCTCTCAGGCTGACAACCAGCACCATTCTCTTCGCCTTTGTGTATTTGTATATCCAGTTTTTGTCTCCTCTCATCTACCCACTCTGTTTCCTCCTCTCGACCACCTCCACGGACAGTTACCTCCGAACCATTGCTCCTCACCACCCTTCCAGCCTCCAACAGCTAGGTCGGTACACAGTCATCAGATTCCATTTGCTCACCACCTGTTTCTACTCTGCCTCCTTAGCCAATTCCTACCTCTACCGGCCAGCTCAGGAGTGACCCATGTGTCCGCAGATAGGCCAGTCTCATCCATTACTTCCTTGATCGACTGATTGACACCCGGTTAATCATTCCCATATTCTGTTTAGCCTTTCATCTCACTGCACTTGTATATAGTCTGTACAGCACCAATAAATATTGCTTGCACTAAGGTCAGCTATTTGGGTCCAATTTCTTTATACACTCCCTCCCCCGTAAGTGAATGTTCATAACAATCAAAGTCTGGTAGCATGTCCAGTCATACAGCGCTGGGCTCAGAGAATCAGAGTTTCCGCAGGAACTCCATAACCAAAGAGCGCCGAACCATTGTCTGTAGTTCCATTTATCTTCGTGGGCGGGAACCTCCCCGGGTTGGACTTACATGTATCCTTGCGCTATTGGTCATAGGCGTGAGCAAGTCAGCCTCTGCTCACGTCAGCTACTAAATATGCAAATCAAATGATGTGTGAATGTTGTAGTTTCAGTAGCTAACAGAAACCCGAACATCTGGTCATCTTCAAAGAGCAGACATCCTGTCTATAAAAACCATAATAAACGAACAGTAGATACCAAACATTTAGTCATTTCCAAAGGGCAGACATCCTGCATACACAAACTCTAATAAACAAACTAAATACTGGACATTTGGTTAACTTCAAAGCGTAGACTTTCTGCAGACACATTCTTTAACAGACAAACAGGAGATACTAAGCAGTTCTAACAGTCTTCAAGTCTGCAGTAGTGATATATATAAGTAAGGGATAAAAAATAGGAAAAGAAACTTAAGTTCATATGACTCAA